CGTTTGCTTTTGGGCCGCGTAAAGAGAAATGTAGTTCGTCCGGATGCGACGAAATTCAATTGTGATTTTGAAATGCCATTCTAGCAGCTCATCAAGCGTAGTTGGCGCAGGGCTGGTTTCGAGGATTCTTTCAAGATTCCTTAGATTTTATTTATAATTATATTATTTATAAGATTTCTTGGTGAATAATTTGGCAGGGCTGAAGAGTTAGCCGTTCTTTGAATCATCACTACGATTGAGCCGATAATTCCGTGACTTTCCGATTGATGGCCAATCGGGTATCGTTTGCCGGCGAGTGCGTCGGGAATCAATTTGAGATACATTTGTTTAATTCTATTCGTGACGTTGCTGCGTTGTTCCACACTCATTATTTCTTTTCTTAATTGTGTTGCAATCGTATCTAAATATGATCAATTGTCGAGATTTTTCGAGAGCTCCGCTGACTCTTTAATCATCGAGCTCCGCCGAGGTTTTCACAGAGGAGGTGGACTTATGGCTGTTAATCAAGGGCTTAGCCGAATGGCAAAGCTAAGACCTAAAGAACACATTTTTACGTAGGAAATCGAGAAATCTGGCGGAAAAACAACAGCGTATATGCGTTTTGAGCAAAGAATCGATGCTTTCTTGTAAACAATTTCTAAACCCTAACCTATCTTTTTTTGCAAAAATCGGGGCTCTGCCTTTAATTTCAGCAAAATTCTTTCTAAAAGGCAATTTTTGTTAATTTTGAGCAGAGTTTTGCCGATGAAAGAGCCAAAATACATATTTTAGTTGACCCTTTTGGCAAAGATCGAGGGCTCCGCTGGAGGCTGCAGCCAGAATAACTTGAGATGGCCCAAATTCGGCAGAAAAATCAAGGGCTCCGCCGGAGCCAGCCCAAAAATCATTCGGCGAAAATCCTACAGAGCTCCTTGGTCAGGAGGAGAAAATGGGCATGGTCAGGCACTTTTATAGGAGCGCTCGCTCACAAGTCTCACTTCAAGTTCGACTTTATTTCTGAGCTGCAGTTCCGAGTTGAGTGATGAGCTCGCGCTTCGCAGTTGGTGCTCGCGCTCGGCCCTCAGCTTCGGATTCTGTGAGTTTGGCTCGAGACTCGACTTTCGTTTTTGTAATCATAAGTTATGGACCATAACATGGTGTCGAGCTACAATTGTTGCTACACCATATATGGTGTTTTTGGCGGGTACCCCAGCTTTTTCCCAGCGATTTTACCGAAAGTTTACCCTAGTCAGCTTCTCTGATCCTCAAAGTATGAACTTCCCTGAGAGAATTTTCGATTAAATGAACTTTGGTATCATGATTGGAACACTATTATTGAACAAAAAAATTATTTTTCAGCAAAGATTTTTAATAAAATCATGATAAACCAAATATGGTGCAGAGCTTTCATAGAGGATGCACCATATATGGTGTTCTTGGCGGATACCCCAGAAAATCCACTTTTGGCGGGCTAAGGTTAAATCTCATTATTTTCAAAGAAAATGTAAGATTTTCGATAAGAAAAACGCCACATCTGGCAAAAAAGGAGAAATATAAAATTTTGGCGCAAAAAATGTCCAAAAACTTGATACAGGCACTTTTGAAAGGTGTCCCAAGAAAACCCCTTAAAATTGCAAAAATGTCCAAAAATTTGATGTCCAAAAATTCCATAAAAAACTGTACGTTGATGGTGTAAATCTACAGGCTAGTCGTTTTTTTGTTATTTTGAGAGAAAATTCAAAATTTATTGACGTGACCACAAAGATATTAAAGTCGACCCCCCTCAGCCTTTTTTTGAAAATTTTCAAATTTGCCGCTTTATCGTAAGATTTATGCCTTCTCGACTTTCTTTCCTAATATTTCGTGACTCATCTGCGCGCGCGCGAATGAGAAATCAAGCTTTTCCAAGCTCGATTTTCCTTTTTTTTTTGTGAAGAAAGATCAAGAAAACGAGAAAAGACGAAGATGAAGTGAATTTTTAAAAGACTTTTATATTGTTATTATTATTTTGAGAAAGTGATTATTATTTGAAAAGCTATATTTTTCTATTTTCATTTGTTTCAACTTTCATGGGACCAATTCTGGTCACCATTTTTTTTAAATAGAAGGTTATAGCTTCCAACGTGCCGATAAGCAACGAAGAATTCGAAGAAATCCGGGACAAGCTTGATCGTGAGCTCAAAATCTCCCTTGGCGTCAATAAAGATGGAAATTAATGATGATTTCAAAAACTCGCCTCAGGTAAAGGAATCAGTAGTCTATTCCTCGATTTCATTCAAAATCAATAGGTACCGGACAAAAGTGACGAAGTTTCTCTTTCTTCCTCATCCGACTTCTCTGACAAGGACTACAACTTGGCCAGCGAGCAGATCGAACGTGACTCGGAGCTCTACGAGAATTCTTCAAGAAAGATGGTGATGAACTTGTTGCTCTTGGATATTTTTCAAAGGCACTTGTTGGACCTGACCTTCGAAGATCGATGAGAGCAAAAGAGCTGTTTGCCCTCGCACTCGGTATCCAATTCTTTGAATTCTATCTTCTCAACACGACCCTTACCGCTGTCGTCGATCACAAGAGTCTTCTGTACCTGTTTAAAGAGCAATCTGAATACCGAAAGAATGACATCAAGTTTCAAAATCTGCTCAATTACCTTCTACGATTCGACTTTCGAATCCTCCACAAAAGTGGAGACTCACCAATGATCGCAACAGCAGACTTCTTGAGCCGACTTCCTGAGTACAAAAGCTCTGATCTTGAAAAAGACTCCGAAACATTTGAAGACATACCAGAAACAGTGTTGCTTCTTCACACTTCCTGTGAGAAGAACGACCAAATTATCTTCAAATTCGGTGATCAAGAGTTTGATGAAAGTACTGTTTTAAGACTTCAAATGGAATGCAATATTAAGCGAAACAAATTTGAGAAAGCTAAACTGAACCCAAAGTCATCATTCAAAATCAAAAATGATGTTCTATACAAGGACAATCGCCTTGTTCTACCACAAAACTTGTCCGATGAATTCCTTTCATACCTTCAATGCGTAACCGGACATGCAGGAGCAAAACAAATGGTCACACTCTGCCAGAAGTTCTTCATTCACCAAGTCCAAATGAAGATTCGCCAACTAAGTTCTTCTTGCCCAACTTGCCTTCAGATCAAACGAATGGCAAAACCAGGGCTGGATATTTTGAAATCAACAAAAATCTCAAACCCCGAAAAAAACATGAATAATCATCTCATCCATTTCAAAAATGAAATCTCATAAAATTTTCTGTCTGAGATCTCAATTTTCGATTTTGCAAAAAATTGATATTTGAAATGCTGAGATCTCAATTATCTCAGAAAACCGCGTGAGTTGGACACGCGCGTTGCAATCAAATGAAATTTGAAATGCTGAGATCTCAAGCATTTCAGACGCATCTGAACCAATCACAAGTCTTGCTCTAAGCCCGGGACGTTTGTCCGCGGCCCTTGCGCGTTTTGCAAAATTTTGAGATTTGAGATCTTGAGATCTCAGCAATCTCAAGAATGGAAAAAATTATGACGAGGGTGTTGTAATAATATTGAAATTTGAGATTTGTTGAAATGGTGCAAAATTTTGAAATGAAAATGAGATTTCACACAAAAATCGATTTGAAATTTTTGCTGATTTCAAAATATCCAGCCCTGGGCAAAACTACGACCGTCGATGATCGAGAAACGAATGTTTGAATCGACTCCATTTGCGAAAACGCACTTTGACCTAGTAGATTATGCAAGACCCGACAGCGCCGGAAAACGCTATCTACTAACCTGCTGCGACTCCCTCACAGGATTACTCGATGGAATACCACTAAGCCGCAAAACCGATGAGATTGTCGCAAAACATCTCCTGAACCTCATTCTTACTCATGGATGCACTGGCGACGCTATCACCGACAATGGTGCTGAGTTAAATGGCCCACTTGTCACTGAGATCTTCAAACGTTTTGAAATCCGCCATACCACAACAACGGCTTATCGTAGCCAGAGCAATGGTCAACTCGAAAGATTGCACCGAGAAATAAACCTTAAGCTCAAAACACTCAATGCGAACAACCGAAACTGGTCTGCAGCGTGGCCACTCTGTAAGTATTTTGTTATCAATCTTCCAAAAAAAATCCTGGACGGACTAAGCGCCAACGAAGGTTACTATGGTCGCTCATTTAATCCGCCATTTCAAACCAATTTCGATGCAAAATCTTCCGGAAAACCATGGATCAAGAGCCTTGAAAGCTACTTCAAGGAACTCCATCCCGCGATCCTCGCCTACCAAATCGAAAAGCACCGCAAACTTGTCAAATCTGACAAAAACAGCTGCCCCGTCCTTAATACTGGTCAAAAATGTCTTGTCTGGAAACCAGCACTTGGTAAGCTCAGCAGAGTTTGGCACGGCCCCTACACAATTCACAAGCGAATCAGCAAAGATTCGTACATCGTGAAAGATATAAACACCGGCCGTGAATACAGAAGACACATAAATCTGATCCGACCATGCACAATGCAGCAGCAGGACTGTGAAACAGAAAGTCTTTCAGCGAAAGACCAAACCGAAGTTCCGAATAAATGTCTTGATGAAATGATGTCACCCGAGACAATCATCAACTCCGACGACGAAAACGAAAACGCCTGGTCAAAGCGACTGCGTCCGCGAAAGCGATAAAATCAAAATAAAGGGGGAGGAAGGGCCTCCACAACCCTAAATTTGAAATCCACATTCAGCGTGTGTGGTTGCCAATAGTAAAAAGTCCATAGAGTACTCGACTTCACAGCAATATTCAATGGTAGCTCACGGAGAACTTGTATTGTCCCCACCCAGCCCTCTCAACGTCTGTTTCAGCAACATGTTGATTCTCGTCGATTTCTTTGCATATCAAAAAGATAAATGCGTTTAGTATCGCCCTGTCTCCGAGTTCAAAATAAGGATTTCTATATAGCAGCATCCTTTAAAGGTTTATCACAATATATAGATTCATATTTAGACGAGGAATGAAACGAATCAAATGCCAAACAAGATCACAAGGCGAAGCAAGTACAAAGCAGCAAGTTCTAGTGCGAATTATGAAAAAAATCAAGCTGGATTCTTCACTGGCTTCGGTCAAGAGCAGCTCGACCAAGACCTTGATCCTCGGCTGAGAGTTGCGTTTAGAAAGAGTTCGAACAAAGATGCAACAACGCGAATCAAGGCCTCTGAAGAGATTCTTGGGATATTGGAGGATAAAGAAAGCGATTTGTCTGGGACGATAACTGCGATGCTGAAAGCTTGGCCTCGCTACTACTCGAAGTCAGTTTCAGATCCGGAGCCAAGAGTTAGAAGCCAAGCGCACAATGTCACTTTACGCGTTCTACAACTTTCTGGAAAGCAATCCGCTCCTTATTTGAAGTCGATCATGCCGCCTCGGAAATGACCATGGGTGAAATTCTCGAGCTGTGGCGGAAAATGGGCGCCAAGGAATTCGCGAAAACAGTAACACATCCAAAAGTAGCAAAGTTGAAAGGTAAAGAAGTGCGCCAAGTGGTCAAGAGATCGGGAGCGAGCGCGGAAAAGCGAAAGCTACAGCTTGAAAAAATGCACCAGAGGAAATTTCATCGAAGAAAATGCTGCCTAAGTTAAGGCAAGTCGTAGAAGGTAGGTCGAGATTGAGGACACCTGGTTCTCTGTAGAAAACCTGAGCGGGCTCAAATAAAAGATCATAGCTGCTACAGTAGACTAACAAAAGTATTCAGTTCCTAATCGCTCAAAAATGACGGATCCTCGATTAAACCCTGAGCTCGGTGAATTCAACCACACCGCCTTCGACAAAAGATTCGCCTTCATCGCGGACATAGAAGAAAAGAGCATTTTAAAAAAGAGCTGAAAAATTGTGAAAAACGCGGACATCAAGCAAAATATGCGCAATCTTGTCAACAGGTAATCGAATCATTATTTTCTTGACTTGGCAACCTTCGCAGAAACATGAGTCAGAGTCCCGGAATAACGTTGATGAAAAGCCGCGTAGCTTCTTTTCGCCTAAATTGCCATCCTATTGAAAAACCTACAGAACACTGACTCAGGACCTGTTTTTTTACAGAGGTTGCCAACCCAAACTCTTTTTGAAAGTTTTTTCTTTATTGAACCCTTATTTTAGGATCGAGCAAAAAGCAAATGCCCGCCGAAAAAGGATGGAAATTCGACAAAAAGAAAGCGAGTGGAAAAAAGAAGAAAGAGAAAAGCAAAAAGATGGCAAAGCAGCTTTTTATCGGCTTACTTTAGCAGCTTTTTATATATTTTATATTTTTTGTAAATTTGGGGGTTCCATTTTTGTTTTTCGAAGTCACCAGATAGAAATAAACTGATGTTCTTGATATATGGCCGGGCGGCGTTGCCTAATGCTACTCTAGTAGTTTATGCCTAATCATAGTCGAACACGATTTACCATCATTCTCAGAGCTGACTGACCGAGTCAATTTGTTATGTAATAGCTCCGCTGCGGAGGACTTTTTTTACTCGGGAAAAGAAATTAAAAATCATTTTTGAAGAAAGACTCCGAAAAATTCAAATTTTCGCTTAACTTCTCAAGGCACGTGGTCCAATCATTGGACCACGGCGACTTTACCCCTGTATTTCCCGTTCTAGTAATCTGTTTGACCTGAATTTTGTAATGTGAGCTGATAGGACGGAAACGAACCACTGTGTGAAGTTTCGAATGAAAACTCAAAAGTGGTGGTGTTTTGCGCCATATTTCTCTTTCGCTCTCTGGTGGAAAATCGAAACGGATTTTTCGATTTACAATAGTAAATTATTATAGAAGAGAGTTCAAGCTCTCTAACAATATATTTATAATCTTTTTACTTAACGGAAACGTCAATTAGAGCCAAAAGTCCTGAGCGCTATTTTTCACACTATGAATTTGGCGCGCCGCGCGGGCTGGATAATGCATTGTGGTCCAATTATTGGACCACGTGTTTTGAGGGTATAGTAGCGCGCCCGTGTTTTGAGAAGTTAAGAAATTTTTTTCCCGAAAAAAATAGAAAATTTTCATTTTCTATAAAAAGCTTCCAAAAAGTAATTTTACAGTCAAAAACTTACTAAAAACTGTTTTTTAAGGGTCTTGACTTAAGAAAAAGAGTAAGTCAGGCCAAAAAAAAATTCATAAATTAAGGGACCACCCGCAGCGAGCTCGCGCCGCTTTTCACGAGCCCAGAACTTTTTCTTACCTTCTTCAAATTTAATGAAAATCACTACATCTAGTGCAGATTTTTCTTCTCTTTCATCTCCAATTCGAATTTTTCATATCATAATTTATGAACTCAGGAGAGAAAAATGATGCTCAACTTCAAAAGGCATCAGCTCCTAAAATACTTGTCACTTGAAGTTTAAAATACCCTCATCAAAAAGCGCATTCAATTTTGACCAGGTCTACGTTCGCGTGGTCTTCAAATTTTGTTTGTATACGATCGTAATCAGGGGATTTATCAAGGAACAACCTTCGCGCGGCGGGGAATTTGCACTATTTTCGAATGTACACCAGGTGTACTACACCTGGTCAAAATTGAATGCGCTTTTTGATGAGGGTATTTTTAACTTCAAGTGACAAGTATTTTAGGAGCTGATGCCTTTTGAAGTTGAGCATCATTTTTCTCTCTCCTGAGTTCATAAATTATGATTTGAAAAATTCGAATTGAAGATAAAAGAGGAGAAAAATCTTCACTAGATCTGTTATTTTTATTAAATTTTAGGAAGGTAGGAAAAGTTCTGGGCTCGCGAAAAGCGGCGCTAGCTCGCTGCGGGTGGTCCCCTAAGAGATAAAATTGAAAAAATTATCAATAAAAACCATAACAAAACTAAAAACGTGAAGAATATAAATTGAAACATCGGCTGGAGGTGGGCGGGGTTGGGGACGAAACTAAGATTGATCAACTCAGACTTCCCAGCCTTTGTCAAGCCCCTTAAATTTAATAATCACGAAACGGGGCTGAGACGGCCCAAAGGGCCGTCAAGCCCATTAAATTTAAAAATCACGGACTTAACAAAATGTTCATTGTATTATATTATTTTCTTTATTTATTGGTCTTCCAGCAAAGTGGATCTTCCATTGAAGGAGTCCTCCGGAACAGAAGGGTCCTCCAAGGTCACGTGGTCAAAAAGTGACCGGAAAATTCTTGATGTTAGACTTTATGCCAGTGATTATTGGTCTTCCAGCAAAAAGGTCTTCCAGTAGAATGGGTCCTCCACGGGCCACGTCAGAGGTCACGTGGTCGAAAAACCTAATTGATAAAGGTTATCATAGGTTCAACCTTCGGTCTTAGTCTTGTGGTCGGAGGACCTTTCTGTGAGAACCCAGTCAAACTCACTCCGCCTACGCAATTCGTTTGGACAAAATTAGCATTGTAAAATGTCCAAACGATTTGATCGCCTAGGGGGTCGGTCAGTCAGGAATGATAATCGCGGTAGTTTACAGTTGATTGTATTTGTTGAGTGTATCAAAGGGTGAGGTGTATCAAAAGGCGTCTCTTTTCGAGTGTCTCAGTTTTAGAGTGTCAAAAGTCAGAGTGTCAAGAATCAGAGTGTTGAGGTGTGCCGAGGATTCGCGGAGAGGGTCGTTTACGATATTTGCTCGTGTGCGCCGATGCGCCGGCATAAGTCCGTATTCAGCATTTCCGACAATCTCTTCAGTCACAATCATAGTCCGTCATGAATATTATATTCTGCTTGAAAAAATCGTCGTCAAATTCCTCGAGCCTGGGATCACAGTAGAATCGTTCGAATTCATCGAAGAATTGAAACTTGTACGGAACAAGTGATTTCTCGTGCTCGATTTCATATTTGATTTTGAAGTTTCGTGCAGCTTGACGTAAATTTCTTTTAGCCGATCCTCCAAAAATGATATCTTTGATTTCCGTGTCAGTAATTTGTCCTTTCAATCTGTGCGCAAGTTCTCTTGTCGCTATCGGGTTCAATTGCAATTCACTTTTTCGGTATTCGTAATACAGTTTTTATGGAATTTTTGGACATCAAATTTTTGGACCTTTTTGCAATTTTAAGGGGTTTTCTTGGGACACTTTTCAGAGGTGCCTGTATCAAATTTTTGGACATTTTCTGCGCCAAAATTTCAAATTTTCTGTTTTTCTGCCAGATATGACGTTTTTTTCTCATCAAAAATCATACTTTTTATTTGAGAAAGATAAGATTGAAGCTTGATCTCGTACCCCTAAAACATTTTTTGTCTTTCGAAGAAGAATGATGCAGAGCATGATGGAGATTTTCCTCAAAAAATTTTTTAACAGATTTGGATGGGACATTTTTGTCGGCAGCGTGTATCAAATTTTTGGACATTTTTACGAAAATCTTGGGACAAAAAATGTCCAAAAATTCCATAATTAACTGTATATCCAATACTTAAAACATCCATATGACTTTGTCAAGAAACTTTTAATTTTACACATGATATCGAGAGAAAATCGGCAAATTTTTCGGACTGCCAGAATAACGAGTATTTCGCGTAATTCCTGAAAAAATAGCTCGTAATTCCCGCAGTCGACTGTAGTCAAAATGTTAAAATAATTAAAACCATTAATTTAGGGTGCCAGCAAGGAATTTCTCAATCAAATTCAGATCTTGCATAAAATCACTAATTTATTGAGCGCGCGACGGGCCAAAGCCCTTACGCGTGCATTTTCTGGTAGAGAACTCATTGGGTTTGCGGGGCTCAACTCTCGCTCTTGTTCAGAACTCTTTCCTTGGTCATGGTTTTGTCGATTGATAGTCGATTGGTTCCGGACCAGCCGACGCTTGGCGATTCAGTACCCCCCCCCGCCGGCTCGCATCTTCCCATTGGATTTGAACTCGCACATCTAGAGAAAGTTTGCGTTGTGCGTGCATGCTTTCCTTTTTTGTTTACAATTTCTTAAGTTTTGGCAGAATCCATTTTGTCCCAAAATTTCAGCCCTCTATCTCACCGGGATTACGATGCTGATTTTTCGCGCGCTGGCCCTAGTCATAAGCGCGGTAAAAAGATCCACGATTGTAAGTTTTTGAAAATTCGCTCTGTTTAGCCTTCCCTAGCCTTGCGATTTTATCGCCCGATTTCGAGCCGTGTTCTCCCGTAAACCAAATATATCATAAAATATGATTAATATTATTTGATTCAATATAAATGCTTGTTATTTTTTTTGTCCTTAAATAGTCATAAAATTGTCGCCGCTTTCAAACGAGTTTTTTCCAGCACTTATTTGTCAACAATTACGAGTCTGTCAAATAAATGTCAACCTCGCTGCAGGAATTATGTACAGGAGCTATGGAAATCCGGGATGGTGTGTTCTTCTTCTTAAAAACTTAAAGATGATGGAATAATTTCAGGCAGGCATCATCTTCAGATATTTGGAGAAAAAAGACCATCGATTTGTATCAATCTTTTTTCATTATTGGTGCAAGTAAAGTATATAATAACATAGGTCATCCCCTTGTTACCAGGATAAACGTCGGCGAAAATCTGAATTTAGCAGGATAGACCCGTGGCAAACGAGCCCCCACGTTAGCAGCATAAACTTTGGCAAAAGGGGTCATTGTTAGCAGGGTAAACTTGGGGGTAAAACCTGAAAATGGCAACAAGGGCAACAAAGGCAACAAGGGCAACAAGGGCAACATGTTGCCCTTGTTGCCATTTTCAGGTTTTGAGGACTTGGGCCGATTTTGAATTGTCTGTTGTTGTTGTTTTAGGAGCGCGTCTCTAGATTTGTTTTGAATTAATTTTCTTGCGTTATTTTTGGCTCAGTCAGGATAATGCAAGCAGGGGAGCAACAGCAAATACGAGTTTACAACGCTGTTTGTAAAATGAAACTAGATAATTGATCAAAATTTATAAATTTCTAATCAAATAATTAGCCATTTCGTCTGCTTCATGTACGTTCATCGCAAAAATATCAACATATAGAACAAGAAAATCCAAAAGAAATTAACAACGCTGTTGAGCACGCTGCGGGCCTGCGGCCCTTGCGCGCAAAATCTGGTAGAGAACTCATTTTTGCAGGAGGCCAACTTTCTCTACTTTCCCGCCTCCATCTCTTGAAGATGTTGTTTTCCTAAGCGAAGGAATGTTGCCCTTGTTGCCCTTGTTGCCATTTTCAGGTTTTGGAGACTTGAAGCTGTTTTTCAGATGCCCTTGTTGCCCTCGTTGCCCTATGTTGCCTTTGTTGCCCTTGTTGCCCTTGTTGCCATTTTCAGGTTTTTCGAACTTGGGCACCAAGTTAACAGGGTTGAATGAATCACCATTGCTCTGCCTCACGGAGCGGGTTCGAATGGCGCGCAAATGGGTTTTGATTTCCGCCGCTGATTTCACGCTGGAGGCGCTCACTTATGATTCACCTACCCTGTTAATTGAGTGCCAAAGTTTACCCTGCTAACAATGACCCATTTTGCCAAAGTTTATGCTACTAACGTGGGGGCTCGTTTGCCAGGGGTCTATCCCGCTAAATTCAGATTTTCGCCAACGTTTATCCTGGTAACAAGGGGATGACCTATGTTATAGGGTCCACGCTCAAAAAATAAAACTTTTGAAATATTGCTTTTGAGGTCTTTTCATCAATATGAAAGATGTAGATCTCGAACAATTGAGAAAAAAAAGCTTAATTTTAACCCGATATGAAAAAAGGTTGAGGAGTTACGAAGAAAAAACACCCAGAAAACCATAAAGATCGGCTCTTAAAAATTTAAAATTAACACAGGGGAAATCGTGGCCCTTTTTTAACGCTAGATCGACCATTATATTTTTGGAGAATGAAGTTCTTCGCCAGTAATCCCAGATTCAGGAAATGGTCGAGGTAAGGATTTGGTCGCGGTATGGATTTTGGTCGAGGTAAGGAAAATTTTTAGAAAATATTTTCAAAAACAAGAAATGAGAGTCTTGACAAAAATACGCCTTACTCTACCCCCCACTCAGCATATAATTTTGAACAATAACTTTTTTTTTTTTGATTTATCTTGACTTTACTTGAGTTTTCCTTCTCTTTTTTTTTTTGAAATGTTGCGCTTGCACCTGATTGGCGCAGCCGACTTTAGCAACGATAACTCATTTCATCATTTTTTCAAAGAAGAGTTAAATTGAAAAAGTGAAAAAGAAGAAGAAAGAATGAACGAAAACTTTCAAAAAAGGAAATTGCTAGTTTTAATGCTTTAATCTACGACTTTAATCTTTTATACTGATGATTTCAAAAAAAATTTCGCGGGCCTGGAAATCGTCAAAAAACTTCTTGTCTAGTTTTGAAGAGCCGTGCCGTGCCGTGCCGCTCCATTCAGTGAATTTCAGTTTGGACACGGCACGGTGCCGCGGCACTGGGGTTAGGCTTAGGTGCAGCCCCGTTCCTTGATTTTTAAATTTAAGGGCTTGACGGCCCTTCGGGCCGTTTCAGCCCCGTTCCTTGATTTTTAAATTTAAGGGGCTTGACGGCCCTTCGGGCCGTTTCAGCCCCGTTCCCTGATTTTTAAATTTAAGGGGCTTGACTGCCCTTCGGGCCGTTTCAGCCACGTTCCATGATCCTTTTAATTTAAGGGGCCTGACGGCCCTTTGGGCCGCTTCAGCCCCGTTCCTTGAATTATTTATTTTTTTGGCTTGACGGCTCTTCGGGCCGTTTCCGCCCCGCTCCTTAATTTTTGAATTGAAGGGGCTTGACGGCCCGTCGGGCCGTTACAGCCCCGTTTCTTGATTTTTAAATTTAAGGGCTTAACGGCCCTACGGGCCGCTTCAGTCCCGAACCTTGATTCTTTTAATTTTAGGGCTTTACGGCCCTTCGGGCCGCTTCAGCCCCGTTCCTTGATCCTTTTTATTTTAGGGGCCTGACGGCCCTTCTGGCCGCTTCAGCCCCGTTCCTTGATCACTTTTATTTAAGGAGCCTGACGGCTCTTCGGGCCGCTTCAGCCCCGTTCCTTGATTTATGAATTTCAGGGGCTTGACGGCTCTTCGGGCCGTTTCCGCCCCGTTTCTTGATTTTTGAATTTAAGGGCTTGACGGCCCTACGGGCGGGAAAACCTGAAATTGTCAACAAGGCCATCAAGGCCATCACGGCCATCAGGGCCATCGAGGCCATCAAGACATTTTTGAAGTCAACAAAAGTCCCCATAACCTGAATTTGTTAACGAGGCCATCAAGGCCATCAATTCTAGAAAGTTGCTTCTGGGGTTTCCTATAAGACAGGCGCGGAGCGCACACCCGCTTTATCTGCTTTCTGATCGTCGATTTTTGCTTCAGAAGTACTAAAATTGATCGGCTTCCTAAGCAGTGTCTTTTTCAGCAGCGGAAGCAATTTTTCATTCAAATTTTGAGTTAATAATTCAGCTACGGAGTTTAATCTGAAAACAAGAACGTTTCTAGAACCATGCTTATAAAAACAATAACAACCAAATCTACAAAACTTCTGAAAACCTGAAATTGGGAATTGATGGCCTTGATGGCCATGCTGGCCGTGATGGCCTTGATGGCCTTGTTGACAATTTCAGGTTCGCCCCTACGGGCCGCTTCAGCCCCGTACCTCGATTCTTTTTATTTTAAGGGCTTGACGGCGTTCGGTCCGCTTCAGCCCCGTTCCTTGATCCTTTTTATTTTAGGGGCCTGACGGCCCTTCGGGCCGCTTCAGCCCCGTTCCTTGAATTATTAATTTTTTTGGCTTGACGGCTCTTCGGGCCGCTTCAGCCCCGTTCCTTTATTTTTGAATTTAAGGGGCTTGATGGCCCTTCGGGGCGCTTCGGCCTCGTTCCCGGATTTTTTAAAATAAACCGCTTGTCCGACGTTTGCGAGCTCTGGGCCTGTTTCTTCTTTACGCGACGGATGTGCTCTACAATATTGACTGCGGATTGCAGCGGCTTCTCACGCAGAAAAAAATGATCGCCCAGAAGTGACTCGGATCTTGAAAATCTCACTTCTCTGTCGAATGAGGCCCTTCTTTCCAGCTGACCAGGCCTGATGCTAAGATCTGATGAGGAGTGTTTTAATGAATCGTGCATTGAAAGAAGTCAAAGAAGTCAAAGAGCGAGTATGCGCTTCGCGCCTGATTTTAGGAAATTCAAGGAGTGGTTAAAAACATCTGGTTTGCTTCTAGAATGTTGCCGTTGTTGCCCAACTCAGGTTATTCGAAAATATAGATTATTTTTATTCGGCCCTGTTGCCGTTGTTGCCGTTGTTGCCGTGGTTGCCTAACTCAGGTTGTTCGGGATAAACTGTCGCTCCACTGTCGTGGTTCTTGGTTCGAGTTGATACAGAGTAATAAATAAAGTGTTTTTTTCAAAAAAGGAGTATAAAATGAAGCCTCGTCGTGTTGTGTGCGCGCTCTATTCGACTGTGAATCTTCTGTTGATGAAGGACGAGGGTTACGAATGTTCTGGTTAAAAATAGGATTAAACGGAGGCTGCTGCGCGTCGTTATGCTTTGGTGGTGGAACTGAACCGCCGGAAAGTTGATGGAATTTTGATTTTTTCTTGAATCTGTAGCAAGGATCTTCAGGGCCACGACCAACAAAGCTATGCTTCACACCAAGCTTGATCTTTTTCGATTCCGTGTTTGGCTCAAAAAGCGTCATTTCCGACAATCATCTGAGATAGGCGAGTTTATTCTCATTACTCTGCTCCATTTCAGGAATTTTCGTCAGAAAAACATAGATCGCTCCGGAATTACTAAGTGCATCAATGAGCGCGCCATTTTTCGACCATTAGATGGCCCTTAATCCGCCGGAAAATTCATTCTAGACGTTTATCTTTGCATTAAAAGTGGCATAGCCGGTTTTTCTTTATCATACTTCTTTATTTAATTCAATAGATCTTTTGTACAGTCAATGACTTATAATACTAAGATAATAATCGCCAAGAGTTTGTAATTTTTCAATGTATCTTCTTGGGAAATTGCAGCTTAATTCAAAGAGGCCGTGTTTTACATGTAAAAGTGCACAAGTAGCAAGTAAGCGCCAGCCGAATTTTATCCGAGATTCTGTTGACCTTCTCTGCTTGTGATGAATTCGTTGTCGGGGTCGAACGGATCGAATTCATCTCTGTAGGCAGCATCGTCGTCAACTCCATCGACGTCCAAATCAGCATCGACGCGGTAGCCAGCCATGAAACCTGAATTTATGATTTAGAATTTATAGTCGAAATTAATAACAAGGCTTCAATCAAAAAGACTTACCAGCAAATCCAACTGCTAAAATAACGAGAGCTGCAATGAAGCCAATAACAATTATGCAGCAAATTATTTGCTTGAGATTGTCTTTTTTGGCTTTTTATTTGATTAAAATCGTAAAATCATTAATTTATTAATTATGTGTAAAAATAAATCGAATTTAATAAAAGCCATTCCAAGACATCGTAATTGGAAGCATTTTTTTTTCTCTTTCTCTCTCTTTTCCTTCGAGAAAAGGGTTATTCGACCCTTCCTCAAGACTCATGATAGCAAAATTCGAATTCAGTAGCTTTTAAATCGCGTTTTGAAAGACTGAATCGAAGAAAAACCTATAAAAGGGGACCTGGAATCATCTTTACCTTTCATCCCTTTTCCGCGAATCAGGAGCTTCCGTAAGAACAACCCACTTTTTAGAATTCAAATAAAATGTATTATCATTATTAACAAATGAATTGAAATACAGTGTTGATAAGGATTTGATAGCAATGATAAGTGTTTCCAGCGGTGAATTTGGCAAGCGGGCGAACAGCGCCGCCACGCGGCTGCGCGCTGTTACGTAATCGCCGCGCCGCCGCAATTTGTTTTTCTCTCTCGACAGTTTTTTGCATTTTTCTCGGATTTTTCTTCTTACGCGGTTAAATTTTTTTGCAGAAATGGATTTTTCACATGAAAAGTCCAGAATCCTTCGTCGTTTTTAATTTTGAATTTTAGGGGCTTGACGGCCTTTCGGGCCGCTTCAGCCCCGTTCCATGATCTTTTTAATTTAAGGGGCCTGACGGCCCTTTGGGCCGCTTCAGCCCCGTTCCTTGAATTATTTATTTTTTGGCTTGACGGCTCTTCGGGCCGTTTCCGCCCCGCTCCTTAATTTTTGAATTGAAGGGGCTTGACGGCCCGTCGGGCCGTTACAGCCCCGTTTCTTGATTTTTAAATTTAAGGGGCTTAACGGCCCTACGGGCCGCTTCAGTCCCGAACCTTGATTCTTTTAATTTTAGGGCTTTACGGCCCTTCGGGCCGCTTCAGCCCCGTTCCTTGATCCTTTTTATTTTAGGGGCCTGACGGCCCTTCTGGCCGCTTCAGCCCCGTTCCTTGATCACTTTTATTTAAGGAGCCTGACGGCTCTTCGGGCCGCTTCAGCCCCGTTCCTTGATTTATGAATTTCAGGGGCTTGACGGCTCTTCGGGCCGTTTCCGCCCCGTTTCTTGATTTTTGAATTTAAGGGGCTTGACGGCCCTACGGGCGGGAAAACCTGAAATTGTCAACAAGGCCATCAAGGCCATCACGGCCATCAGGGCCATCGAGGCCATCAAGACATTTTTGAAGTCAACAAAAGTCCCCATAACCTGAATTTGTTAACGAGGCCATCAAGGCCATCAATTCTAGAAAGTTGCTTCTGGGGTTTCCTATAAGACAGGCGCGGAGCGCACACCCGCTTTATCTGCTTTCTGATCGTCGATTTTTGCTTCAGAAGTACTAAAATTGATCGGCTTCCTAAGCAGTGTCTTTTTCAGCAGCGGAAGCAATTTTTCATTCAAATTTTGAGTTAATAATTCAGCTACGGAGTTTAATCTGAAAACAAGAACGTTTCTAGAACCATGCTTATAAAAACAATAACAACCAAATCTACAAAACTTCTGAAAACCTGAAATTGGGAATTGATGGCCTTGATGGCCATGCTGGCCGTGATGGCCTTGATGGCCTTGTTGACAATTTCAGGTTCGTCCCTACGGGCCGCTTCAGCCCCGTACCTCGATTCTTTTTATTTTAGGGGCTTGACGGCGTTCGGTCCGCTTCAGCCCCGTTCCTTGATCCTTTTTATTTTAGGGGCCTGACGGCCCTTCGGGCCGCTTCAGCCCCGTTCCTTGAATTATTAATTTTTTGGCTTGACGGCTCTTCGGGCCGCTTCAGCCCCGTTCCTTTATTTTTGAATTTAAGGGGCTTGATGGCCCTTCGGGGCGCTTCGGCCTCGTTCCCGGATTTTTTAAAATAAACCGCTTGTCCGACGTTTGCGAGCTCTGGGCCTGTTTCTTCTTTACGCGACGGATGTGCTCTACAATATTGACTGCGGATTGCAGCGGCTTCTCACGCAGAAAAAAATGATCGCCCAGAAGTGACTCGGATCTTGAAAATCTCACTTCTCTGTCGAATGAGGCCCTTCTTTCCAGCTGACCAGGCCTGATGCTAAGATCTGATGAGGAGTGTTTTAATGAATCGTGCATTGAAAGAAGTCAAAGAAGTCAAAGAGCGAGTATGCGCTTCGCGCCTGATTTTAGGAAATTCAAGGAGTGGTTAAAAACATCTGGTTTGCTTCTAGAATGTTGCCGTTGTTGCCCAACTCAGGTTATTCGAAAATATAGATTATTTTTATTCGGCCCTGTTGCCGTTGTTGCCGTTGTTGCCGTGGTTGCCTAACTCAGGTTGTTCGGGATAAACTGTCGCTCCACTGTCGTGGTTCTTGGTTCGAGTTGATACAGAGTAATAAATAAAGTGTTTTTTTCAAAAAAGGAGTATAAAATGAAGCCTCGTCGTGTTGTGTGCGCGCTCTATTCGACTGTGAATCTTCTGTTGATGAAGGACGAGGGTTACGAATGTTCTGGTTAAAAATAGGATTAAACGGAGGCTGCTGCGCGTCGTTATGCTTTGGTGGTGGAACTGAACCGCCGGAAAGTTGATGGAATTTTGATTTTTCTTGAATCTGTAGCAAGGATCTTCAGGGCCACGACCAACAAAGCTATGCTTCACACCAAGCTTGATCTTTTTCGATTCCGTGTTTGGCTCAAAAGCGTCATTTCCGACAATCATCTGAGATAGGCGAGTTTATTCTCATTACTCTGCTCCATTTCAGGAATTTTCGTCAGAAAAACATAGATCGCTCCGGAATTACTAAGTGCATCAATGAGCGCGCCATTTTTCGACCATTAGATGGCCCTTAATCCGCCGGAAAATTCATTCTAGACGTTTATCTTTGCATTAAAAGTGGCATAGTCGGTTTTTCTTTATCATACTTCTTTATTTAATTCAATAGATCTTTTGTACAGTCAATGACTTATAATACTAAGATAATAATCGCCAAGAGTTTGTAATTTTTCAATGTATCTTCTTGGGAAATTGCAGCTTAATTCAAAGAGGCCGTGTTTTACATGTAAAAGTGCACAAGTAGCAAGTAAGCGCCAGCCGAATTTTATCCGAGATTCTGTTGACCTTCTCTGCTTGTGATGAATTCGTTGTCGGGGTCGAACGGATCGAATTCATCTCTGTAGGCAGCATCGTCGTCAACTCCATCGACGTCCAAATCAGCATCGACGCGGTAGCCAGCCATGAAACCTGAATTTATGATTTAGAATTTATAGTCGAAATTAATAACAAGGCTTCAATCAAAAAGACTTACCAGCAAATCCAACTGCTAAAATAACGAGAGCTGCAATGAAGCCAATAACAATTATGCAGCAAATTATTTGCTTGAGATTGTCTTTTTTGGCTTTTTATTTGATTAAAATCGTAAAATCATTAATTTATTAATTATGTGTAAAAATAAATCGAATTTAATAAAAGCCATTCCAAGACATCGTAATTGGAAGCATTTTTTTTTCTCTTTCTCTCTCTTTTCCTTCGAGAAAAGGGTTATTCGACCCTTCCTCAAGACTCATGATAGCAAAATTCGAATTCAGTAGCTTTTAAATCGCGTTTTGAAAGACTGAATCGAAGAAAAACCTATAAAAGGGGACCTGGAATCATCTTTACCTTTCATCCCTTTTCCGCGAATCAGGAGCTTCCGTAAGAACAACCCACTTTTTAGAATTCAAATAAAATGTATTATCATTATTAACAAATGAATTGAAATACAGTGTTGATAAGGATTTGATAGCAATGATAAGTGTTTCCAGCGGTGAATTTGGCAAGCGGGCGAACAGCGCCGCCACGCGGCTGCGCGCTGTTACGTAATCGCCGCGCCGCCGCAATTTGTTTTTCTCTCTCGACAGTTTTTTGCATTTTTCTCGGATTTTTCTTCTTACGCGGTTAAATTTTTTGCAGAAATGGATTTTTCACATGAAAAGTCCAGAATCCTTCGTCGTTTTTAATTTTGAATTTTAGGGGCTTGACGGCCTTTCGGGCCGCTTCAGCCCCGTTCCATGATCTTTTAATTTAAGGGGCCTGACGGCCCTTTGGGCCGCTTCAGCCCCGTTCCTTGAATTATTTATTTTTTTGGCTTGACGGCTCTTCGGGCCGTTTCCGCCCCGCTCCTTAATTTTTGAATTGAAGGGGCTTGACGGCCCGTCGGGCCGTTACAGCCCCGTTTCTTGATTTTTAAATTTAAGGGGCTTAACGGCCCTACGGGCCGCTTCAGTCCCGAACCTTGATTCTTTTAATTTTAGGGGCTTTACGGCCCTTCGGGCCGCTTCAGCCCCGTTCCTTGATCCTTTTTATTTTAGGGGCCTGACGGCCCTTCTGGCCGCTTCAGCCCCGTTCCTTGATCACTTTTATTTAAGGAGCCTGACGGCTCTTCGGGCCGCTTCAGCCCCGTTCCTTGATTTATGAATTTCAGGGGCTTGACGGCTCTTCGGGCCGTTTCCGCCCCGTTTCTTGATTTTTGAATTTAAGGGGCTTGACGGCCCTACGGGCGGGAAAACCTGAAATTGTCAACAAGGCCATCAAGGCCATCACGGCCATCAGGGCCATCGAGGCCATCAAGACATTTTTTGAAGTCAACAAAAGTCCCCATAACCTGAATTTGTTAACGAGGCCATCAAGGCCATCAATTCTAGAAAGTTGCTTCTGGGGTTTCCTATAAGACAGGCGCGGAGCGCACACCCGCTTTATCTGCTTTCTGATCGTCGATTTTTGCTTCAGAAGTACTAAAATTGATCGGCTTCCTAAGCAGTGTCTTTTTCAGCAGCGGAAGCAATTTTTCATTCAAATTTTGAGTTAATAATTCAGCTACGGAGTTTAATCTGAAAACAAGAACGTTTCTAGAACCATGCTTATAAAAACAATAACAACCAAATCTACAAAACTTCTGAAAACCTGAAATTGGGAATTGATGGCCTTGATGGCCATGCTGGCCGTGATGGCCTTGATGGCCTTGTTGACAATTTCAGGTTCGTCCCTACGGGCCGCTTCAGCCCCGTACCTCGATTCTTTTTATTTTAGGGGCTTGACGGCGTTCGGTCCGCTTCAGCCCCGTTCCTTGATCCTTTTTATTTTAGGGCCTGACGGCCCTTCGGGCCGCTTCAGCCCCGTTCCTTGAATTATTAATTTTTTGGCTTGACGGCTCTTCGGGCCGCTTCAGCCCCGTTCCTTTATTTTTGAATTTAAGGGGCTTGATGGCCCTTCGGGGCGCTTCGGCCTCGTTCCCGGATTTTTAAAATAAACCGCTTGTCCGACGTTTGCGAGCTCTGGGCCTGTTTCTTCTTTACGCGACGGATGTGCTCTACAATATTGACTGCGGATTGCAGCGGCTTCTCACGCAGAAAAAATGATCGCCCAGAAGTGACTCGGATCTTGAAAATCTCACTTCTCTGTCGAATGAGGCCCTTCTTTCCAGCTGACCAGGCCTGATGCTAAGATCTGATGAGGAGTGTTTTAATGAATCGTGCATTGAAAGAAGTCAAAGAAGTCAAAGAGCGAGTATGCGCTTCGCGCCTGATTTTAGGAAATTCAAGGAGTGGTTAAAAACATCTGGTTTGCTTCTAGAATGTTGCCGTTGTTGCCCAACTCAGGTTATTCGAAAATATAGATTATTTTTATTCGGCCCTGTTGCCGTTGTTGCCGTTGTTGCCGTGGTTGCCTAACTCAGGTTGTTCGGGATAAACTGTCGCTCCACTGTCGTGGTTCTTGGTTCGAGTTGATACAGAGTAATAAATAAAGTGTTTTTTTCAAAAAAGGAGTATAAAATGAAGCCTCGTCGTGTTGTGTGCGCGCTCTATTCGACTGTGAATCTTCTGTTGATGAAGGACGAGGGTTACGAATGTTCTGGTTAAAAATAGGATTAAACGGAGGCTGCTGCGCGTCGTTATGCTTTGGTGGGGTGACCCTCCGAATCCCGATGGCACTCGATGTACCGCATCTGCGGATGTACCGCATCGACGGATGTACCGCATCGGCGGATGTACCGCGCTTGCGGTAGGTCAGCCGATGCTGTACATCGGCCAATGCGGTACATCGATCGCTTTTGCAAAAATGCGGTACGTCGATCGTTTTTTGCCGAAATATTTCTAGAACGGGTTTTTGGCTAGTGAGGATGCGGTACGTCGATTGTTTTCACTCATAATGCGGTACATCGATCGTTTTTGTGAAAATGCGGTACATCGGTCGCTTTTCGCCTTCAAAAAGTGATAAAAGCTTTCGACTCTTGGTTATGAATTCCTCGTCGACCCCTGTCAGCCGAAGATTACGGCCCAAAATTTTAAAGCTGTAAAGAAACTTTTGAAGACTGAAACAAAATGATCATCTAAGGTCATTTCTTGTTCAGAAATATTTCTATTATAAGTCATTTACTATTATAAGTATATTCAATTTATCCTTCTTGAGGATCTCTCCAAGATAAATTCTATCTGCTGACTAATTGACGAATCTTGAGGAAAGCTCGACAAAAATGTAAAACGACGTTCAGGAAACCGAGTATATGAGCAATAATTATATTAACAATGTTTTTTTAGGTTGACCCTGACTTTGTCCCAACCGTATTCAAAATCCTTATGTGGTAGCTGGGCTGCCGTAGCATCTATACATTTTCTGAAAGACTAGATTCTTTTGCGTTGCCTCGACTGGGTATTGTGACCTTGACGAAGTCATATGACCGGGTGTAGGGCGGCCACGTTCGCAATTTGCGAACGCCGTTCGTAATTTTGCGAACGCCGTTCGCAATATTATTACTATTGATTATAAGGGGTTAGCTGATGCTCTGAGACAAATTAAGGGGGTCGAAAAACCCGAGGGTCAACCAAAAAAAGAGTTTTATTAGTAGATTCTGTCTTATATTTTATAAGATAGCGCCTTGGCACATAAGTACAGACTGTACTGTACAGTGGGTTGCGCAGGTAGAGCACCCTTTGTGATTGCGGCATTGGTGCACCCTTCGCCCGCACGCTTTACGCTTTATTTTTATCGCTACTACCAAAGCTATTTCTGAAGAAGAAATGTCCGATGATGATCATTTTTGTAGTCGAATATTTCACTTTTCAAAAGTTTCTTTACAGCTTTAAAATTTTGGGCCGTAATCTTCGGCTGACAGGGGGTCGACCAGGAATTCATAACCAAGAGTCGAAAGCTTTTATCACTTTTTGAACGCGAAAAGCGACCGATGTACCGCATTTTCACAAAAAAACGATCGATGTACCGCATTATGAGTGAAAACGATCGACGTACCGCATCCTCACTAGCCAAAAAGCCCGTTCTAGAAATATTTCGGCAAAAAACGATCGACGTACCGCATTTTTGCAAAAAAGCGATCGATGTACCGCATTGGCCGATGTACCGCATCGGCCGACCTACCGCAAGCGCGGTACATCCGCCGATGCGGTACATCCGTCGATGCGGTACATCCGCAGATGCGGTACATCGATTGTCACCCCGAATCCCTGGGCACCCTCCGAATCCCTGGGTTTTTGGCGAAAGTCCAGGGATTCGGAGGGTGATGTTCTAGAAAACCGCTACAAATGATCAAAAAACATCTTTTATTTATCATTTTTCAAAATATATCAAAAATTACGCATTTTATAAGATAGCTTGTATGTCATATTTGATTAAACACTAACCCTTAAGGGGGTAGGTATCAAGAATCGGATTTTCTGTCAGTGTTTTTTCAAATTTTTAACATAGTGACCCCCTTATTTTTTCTGCCGAAAATTTACCTTAGGCAATTATCTATTTCCTATGGAAGTCAAAAATTCAGATTTCTTGAGCTTTCGAGGTGCTACAATGCAAATCGGGCACCTCCGATTGTAACCAAAATGACCATTCTAGGAAAGTTAGCGATCTTTGACGAAAAAATTCTGTTAAAAAATATTTTGAAATTCGAATTTTCAACTTCCATAGGAAATAGAGAAACGTCTAAAAAAATTGTTTCCAAAGAAAAATAAGGGTGTGACAATTTTAACTTTTGGCGGAAAGTCTGACAGAAAATGACGATTCTTGATATCTACCTCCTTAAAAGAAGAAAATTGAATGAAAGCAAAAAGTATTTTTCCAACCCACATTTTTTTCAAAATAATTATCAGACGATATAATGAAGATTTTAAGGCTTAAAAATCATTTCAATTTCATCAATAGTATATGCTCACAATTTGTGAGTCACCAATATTACATTTAGAACGTTTAATAAGTATGCTAAAGTTGTTTTGCTTTCAACCCTAACAAATTTTTAGAGAAAACTAATCAATGAATCTGATTTAAAACAGCTAAAAGCTTTTTCTAGAACATTTTGGATTTGACCCTCCGAATCCCTGGGTTTTTGATTTTGCCCAGGGATTGGGAGGGTACCCGCTTTGGTGGTGGAACTGAACCGCCGGAAAGTTGATGGAATTTTGATTTTTTCTTGAATCTGTAGCAAGGATCTTCAGGGCCACGACCAACAAAGCTATGCTTCACACCAAGCTTGATCTTTTTCGATTCCGTGTTTGGCTCAAAAAGCGTCATTTCCGACAATCATCTGAGATAGGCGAGTTTATTCTCATTACTCTGCTCCATTTCAGGAATTTTCGTCAGAAAAACATAGATCGCTCCGGAATTACTAAGTGCATCAATGAGCGCGCCATTTTTCGACCATTAGATGGCCCTTAATCCGCCGGAAAATTCATTCTAGACGTTTATCTTTGCATTAAAAGTGGCATAGCCGGTTTTTCTTTATCATACTTCTTTATTTAATTCAATAGATCTTTTGTACAGTCAATGACTTATAATACTAAGATAATAATCGCCAAGAGTTTGTAATTTTTCAATGTATCTTCTTGGGAAATTGCAGCTTAATTCAAAGAGGCCGTGTTTTACATGTAAAAGTGCACAAGTAGCAAGTAAGCGCCAGCCGAATTTTATCCGAGATTCTGTTGACCTTCTCTGCTTGTGATGAATTCGTTGTCGGGGTCGAACGGATCGAATTCATCTCTGTAGGCAGCATCGTCGTCAACTCCATCGACGTCCAAATCAGCATCGACGCGGTAGCCAGCCATGAAACCTGAATTTATGATTTAGAATTTATAGTCGAAATTAATAACAAGGCTTCAATCAAAAAGACTTACCAGCAAATCCAACTGCTAAAATAACGAGAGCTGCAATGAAGCCAATAACAATTATGCAGCAAATTATTTGCTTGAGATTGTCTTTTTTGGCTTTTTATTTGATTAAAATCGTAAAATCATTAATTTATTAATTATGTGTAAAAATAAATCGAATTTAATAAAAGCCATTCCAAGACATCGTAATTGGAAGCATTTTTTTTTCTCTTTCTCTCTCTTTTCCTTCGAGAAAAGGGTTATTCGACCCTTCCTCAAGACTCATGATAGCAAAATTCGAATTCAGTAGCTTTTAAATCGCGTTTTGAAAGACTGAATCGAAGAAAAACCTATAAAAGGGGACCTGGAATCATCTTTACCTTTCATCCCTTTTCCGCGAATCAGGAGCTTCCGTAAGAACAACCCACTTTTTAGAATTCAAATAAAATGTATTATCATTATTAACAAATGAATTGAAATACAGTGTTGATAAGGATTTGATAGCAATGATAAGTGTTTCCAGCGGTGAATTTGGCAAGCGGGCGAACAGCGCCGCCACGCGGCTGCGCGCTGTTACGTAATCGCCGCGCCGCCGCAATTTGTTTTTCTCTCTCGACAGTTTTTTGCATTTTTCTCGGATTTTTCTTCTTACGCGGTTAAATTTTTTTGCAGAAATGGATTTTTCACATGAAAAGTCCAGAATCCTTCGTCTAGGATGTCCGCGTGGTCCAGCATTTCCCACTCGTTGAACCAGTCTTCTGAGCGCAGCTTGTTTCGACGCTTGAAGTCCTCTAAGACTGAGGTTGGAAAGAGGCGATTAGCTTCGTCTGGGTCCGCAGGTGTTAGGAAACTGAAGTCGTTACCCGAATAATCTTCCGGTGGAAGTCTTTTGGCTACGATTCTCAGGGCATTACCCCTCTTACCTTCTGGTCTTGCATTGGCGTCGAAATCTGCTATAGATTTGAAGCCAAAGTGATTCCTTGCCCTGTAATGGTTTTGCAACCTATGCAAATAAGTGAACACAAGAGAAATATACAGACAACTGAGCAAAGTTGGCTGTGTATAAAAAGAGTAAGGTTTTTGAGCTTTTTATTTGATCTATTCTCTGAGCGAGCAAAAGTGAGAATGACTGTGAGAGAGATGGTGAGCCGTTTTTATAGTTTTTCAAATTTTCGGGTTCCCAGTAGATTAATCGGCTATTATTCGATCGTATCATTTTCATTGGATTAATTGAACATGAACGTAATAATTTGTCACCAACGGATTTTGTCACTTGGAAAAGGAATAATTCCATTTTAGCGGATTAATCGGATTTCGAGCATCAGAACGTGAGAATAATTTGAAGAGAGGTGTTTTAAAACGGATTATTTGGTTTTTCAGGAAGGGCGCGCGTTTAAGAGTCGATTATTTTGCCAGCGCTAGTGCGCCATCATTTTCACTTACGCGCCGTGCTCGCGTGGCAAGCTTTGCTTTGCCCCGCGGCGTGATCGTAATTAGAGCAATTCTGTAAAACCACTACAGCCCGACGTTGAGCAGAATATGATCTTGGCCCATGACGCTAGCTCTTCAAATTGACGCTTCGTCTTTTCGGGCGTTTTGGGATTCAAGGCCAGGTTGTGGTCGGCCAAAAGGCTGTGGACGTCCGAGAGAACTGCGAGTCTAATGATTTTCGAATCGGGTTCTTCTTGGAGCATGATTGTTCTTGAGATTCGTGTCCAATCGATCATTGCGTTTAGGATGAGATCATTTCTATGAGGCTAATCACGTTTCCTTTTTAACTCTTTTTAGCTTGTAGACATCAAGTTGATCTAACCCAAAATGATCGTCTTCACGAGTTCTTGGCGGGATCTTGTAATCATCCTTTTTTCGCTACTTTTACTTTAAGTAAAGAAAGGAAAGTAGAGGGACTTGAGTTATGTGCCAGGGCGCTAAAAAAGGTAAGGAAAAACTCAAAAATGCTTATTAGTAATAAGTAGGGGGTGCACAGTGGGATAATGACCAGAATCGAAAGTATTTTTAATAGGCTTGAAATTTTTTAGTAAGTAGAACACCTTCCTAGGATCATTTTTCATAATTACAAGAATTCAAAAAAAAAAATCATCTTCACCGAAAAAATCGCGAATTCTCCCAAAATTTTTGTTTTTTTTTCTGATTTTTCCAAAACGGGGGCCAACGGGGGACTAGATAAAACTAGATTTGGATAGAGCAGCTCAAGAGCTTATTGGGTTTTGCATACTCGCTTATACTTCCATAAGGCATATTCTAGCGCTTGCGCTAGAACTGACACTCATCGCTCATCCATTTATGGGTGAGCGCACACTCACATGCATAGTTCTATCAAATACCTCCCGCTCCACCAATTTCCCATGTGGCACTTGCTTGACCGGTCACTAATTGGTCTCTCTCTACTGCCCCTCATTTCTGTACCTCAGGACTTGATTCTACAATAAACCACGCATTAATTAATTCGCGGCTTCCCGTCGCCGTTTTCTAACTTAGCGTCAACGGGTTACAAAACCCATTAAGCTTACAAATCATACCCGAATTGTATTGTGCACTTTTGTGCAAAAAATTCTGGAGCCGATTTTCTGTCAAAACCCTTCACTTTTCGGCCAAGTGAGGTGTTCGAGTCCCGACGATGACATTTTTTTTTCATTACCGTTTTCCACTCTAAATAATTAGAACTGATCATGTGATCCAGCGTGAGTCATAAATTGTCCTCCAGAGGACTTCGCTGGTTGAAGAATCCTCCTGGAAGAGGAAAAAATAATTATAATTATTTATTAAATAAGTCTCAGCCCCGTCCATGGCTTTTTATTTAAAATGGGCTTGACATAGGCCGTGGCCCTTGGATTTTTGATTTGGTTGATAATTTTTTTAGTTCTGTCCCCAACCCCACCCACTCCCTATTTTGTTTAATCCTTACTTTTCAAATTTGATTCAGTTTTATGGTTATTATTTTCTTCGAGAAAATGCTTAAAACTTATTTTGACGGTAAAATTCAATTTTTTCGTTTTCTTTTTTTTTCTGCTCTTATGGCTTAGGATGGATCCGGATGAGATTTTTATGATAAAATTCATGATCAGTGATCCTCAGCGATCAAATCTATGCAAAAAAACCCTAGTTTAATCGAGTTTCAGAAAAATCATATTTTGCCCTCAACTGACCTCACGTGACCTCTGATGACCCCAAGTCACATGTTAAAATGATCAGTGAATCATGGGTTTACCATCGATGTATCATTCAAAAATTAACCGCTTTTGAGTTTTTATTCGGATGTCTACAGAGAGGTTCTCTCAGCTCACATTTCAAATTCAGGTCAAACAGATAACTACCATGGGAAAAACAGTAGGTTTAAGTCGCCTTGGTCCAATGATGGTTTCGAAATTAACCGCCTTAAAATAATGATTATCGCCGGGGAATCTTGATTATTGCTGATGCCATGCAAGTAAAAAAAATATGTGAGATTTTCACTTCATCAATGCATTCACCACCAGTTGAGCTCGTGACACCCCGAAAATATACGGCCCGTAGAGGCGTTACAGGTTTGGTTCTTTTTGAAAATTGATCTCTTCCCTTTCACCTTTTTCTTTCAAAAATAATTTGGGTTAGAGAACTCCTCACACAACTGAACTGTTTCTTAAAATCATTTTTATTATTCTGTTAAACGATCCAAAACAAAGGTGATGAGGTGAGCGCTGAAACAAGACAGACAATAGCAACGAAAACGATAAGCAAAACAATGATTCAGCGTTCAGCAGCAGGGTTGCTTATTTTAGGATCTTCATTTACCAACACGGGTTTTTAAGAAAATATAGCTTTAGTTCTGACAGTTTATAGAAGGATCTTTGTGGGCGCCTTCTTAAATTAAAAAACATTAAGATTTTCGTTTTGATGATTGAAATTTATTTGGGACGCGTTTCGGCCTCAAGGGGCCTTCGTCAGCCCTAAGTACAGATTTAAATGAAAGTTCAAAAAACAGGAAAATCAGTCTCTCACCTAGAGTGGACAATTTCGAATGAAAGCAAAGATTGAAAAAATCAAACACATAATTCGCTTTCGCGGGCAGATGTAATGGAGCGCCAGAAGAAAGCGAATTACCTGGAAGCGCCCGGTACCAATTGAGCAGAAAAGTGGAGTGGTGTCGTGAAAATCGACACTTATATCGAAAATTATTTCTTTGATAGGCAATGATGGAAACATTGCCTTTATGTCCAGGGAAATAACTGTATGTTTGTCTAAATCAATCTTATCACGAATTTTAATAAAACTCTCTTTTAGCTCCGCAGTATTCTTTAGATTGTACTTGACATCATCTCTTAGCTTTTGTAAAATTGGCTGTAAGAAAATTTCCGTACCCTCAGCAATAGATCCCCTTGTCCCAATAGTCATCCTGCTTGGTTGACCAAACTTGTGGGTTTTAGTCAAAGAATATGCTCTTTTGATGACATGTTTCGGAGTTTCCGGCAAGATCCGATTTTCAAAATTTAGTAGATACTGTTCTTTTCAAGCTTACAAGTTTTAGCACGCCAGATGGATTTTAAGACAAAAAGATGGATCAACTATGGGGTCGAAACTTTCCCCTATTTTGGCAGACATTTTTATGCACATTTTAGAGACCCCGTTTTTCGACCAACTGATGAGAGAAGGTAGAGCTATTTTTATCCGTGGATGACTGTGCTCTTATAGTGCAGAAATCCGATATCCATTATATTTTTGAGAAAGCTAAAAGTCTTCACAAAAATATTCAATTAACTAAGGAAGAGATGGTTGATGGTAAAGTTGCATATTTAGACACTGAATTCAGAATTCATAAGAATGGAATTGAGATGTTTCATTATGAAAAAGAATCTTCGAAGGATTTCCTTCCCAATTTTTGCACAAATGTTGCTCCTAAGTCTCAGAAGATCAGTCTTCTAGTTGGGCATCTTCATAGGGTGAAAAATGCTTCATCCTGTGAAGAGGCCAAAATTGAAGGTTTCCGAAAAGCCAAGAGGAAGTTCATTCTCAATGGATATCCTCCAGGTTTGGTTGATGATAAAATAAAACTCCTTGATAAGCCGAAAATGAAACCAAAGTGGAAGGGGAAATAATTCATAATTTTTGCACAAAGTTTTACTGGTCCCCGATGCGACAGTATTGATGGCGAAATGCGGTCTATTCTGAAAAAAGTTACCCCAAAGTTTTTCTGAGACTTTGTTGGAAAACAGTAAGAATAGAACAATTTTTGCACCCAACCTGGAAGCGCCCGGTGCCAATTGAGCAGAAAAGTGGAGTCGTGTACCATTTCCAATGCCCATGTGGGAAAACGGATTACCAGGGTGAGACAAAGAGACAGCTTGGAACGAGAATCAGAGAACATTTTGAGCCACGTTATCGTAGTCCTA